AAAATCAAAACTTTATTAGGGTGTGATAGGTAGAGAAAGAATCTCATAGATACCTGATATTAGAGGTTGGGCTACTTGATCTACTCAATTTTTCTTTGGTAAAGCATAGTATTTTTTATTCTAATATGCAGTATGGTTTTGGACCTAGAATAAGCAGGGCAGAGTTTATCCATTCAAACTAAAAACTGAGTTATAATTTACATAATATTTCATCGCCTATTTCCAGTAAGTATATTTAATATTGTGCAATAAGACAATTTTAAACAAATGTGAAATTTAAAAAAATAGTTTTATTGTTGGTTTCCAATAATAAAATTATATAGCCATTACATGTGTAAATATTATAAAGACAAAGGCCGTTAAACAAAACTTAATGAAACAAGAGAAACTATAGTGACACAACTTTTAATTTTTGAAGGGAGATGAAGACTTTGATCTATATCAAATCTCATGCTCTCATGTAGTGTTTCCTATATGTACATAATGTTTACAATAACAAAACAAAGCAGACTCAATTCATATTCTGAAAAATCACAGACTATGTATTGGTTATCCTCACCACAAGTGTCCATTGGTTATTCTAACCACTAATGTCCACTGTTTAGTATTGAAGGCCAATAGTTGGTTATTTCAAATTATTCAATTCTTTACTAAAACATTTTACTAATCTTTACGAAATTGGTATATGGAAGTATTACAAAGAAGTCATAACATGGTATTTTTGCAAAATTTCATGGAGTCTTTGTTGTTGGAATAAACTTTACTATGTCGAAATCAAACTTCTAAATGTTGCTTAGAAATTAACAGGTATAAAAGTATATTCTTTGTTTTTCATTTCAATCGCAACTAAATATAGGTTAAGTCTTTTGTGGAATATTGTGATACTAGATAATATGACACACCAGCTGTGTATTTTTGATGATAATTAACATACTGATAATGCTTTTATACATTACAGGCGGATTAAAGTTTTATTTCAATCTTCAAAGGCTTTTAATTCAAATATATTTTAAGATAAGATCCAAGATAACCTACCTACCCACATATATACAATATACAATATTAGAGTCACGAAAGCAGTACATCATACTGACTCATCCTGCCGCACGTACGTCTGTAGCCATAAATGTGTAAAGTTTCACCAGAACCATCGCGAACAATAACATGTCTATGAAGCTCAATACGTGAGCAGAAACGTGTTTAACATTAATTAGTTTACTTTACCAGTTGAACAGTACTAACTAATNACCCACATAGATACAATATACAATATTAGAGTCACGAAAGCAGTACATCATACTGACTCATCCTGCCGCACGTACGTCTGTAGCCATAAATGTGTAAAGTTTCACCAGAACCATCGCGAACAATAACATGTCTATGAAGCTCAATACGTGAGCAGAAACGTGTTTAACATTAATTAGTTTACTTTACCAGTTGAACAGTACTAACTAATTAAGCGGACGATAAATAACAGATGTAAATGGATTAAAGAATGGTTTTTCATTTAGATCCATGACGCTTGCTGACGTTCGTACGTTCGTGGCTAATAGGGGACACGACCTTCGCGGCCATGGTTGACGCAATCTTTGTGCAAATTTTGAAAGATATGAAATACAATTTAACTTACCTTCACAGCCATACACATTGAATAGAAATTGAACGGTGGCAGCCGTGAGCAGCCGAAGAAATTCACCACACACGCAAAAACGTGTGCACCGCACAGAAAACTTGATGTACTAAAATTTTATGTTGCCAGCTTGGAATTATTGGATTTTATAAATTGCCACAGCTAAATTTTGCAATTATACCAAATTTAATTCACCAATTAGCTATACATAATCAGGCAGTTCTGAATGTTTTCCCATGGGTTTTTCAATCCTTTTTCATTTTTTAAGTCGCTATTAACGAGCTTTAAACGTGTTTATTAACGTGTTTAAACAATCGCTTACGTAAATCGCAACCCAATTAAATTATTCATTAACTAAACATTCACAAAATTTATTAATTGATATTTAATTTTATTTTGAGTACATATATACTACATATTTAACGATATTTATAATTAACATAGCCTTATAACACAATCTCAATGTAACACATAAATCATCAATCATATCTCAATGAAATAAATTATGTGTTACATCGGACTGTATCAGTTCGTATTGTGGTAAAAATATATGCTGATCTGTTTTTCTAAATACGGCAAAAATATGCAATAAGTATAGGTAGTGTAAATAATGGGAGTTTTACCCTTTATGTAAAATTTTGTAAATCGAATATCTCTGCTTCCATATTCAGAGTAAATTAGGCGTCAAGGTCTAACGCTAGTGTAGGAAGCGTAAATGAGATTATAGTAGATTTATGCAGAGTGAAGTATGCTGGATTAAAGTGAAGTGTGGTAGTTTATGGCGCTGTTTTTTAAATCCTTCCACTTGCTATTAAGCCCCACCTTAATTCGCTCCCTTTTAGCGGACCATTTTTAATAAACCTTTTTTATTCTACATAGGTATTCTAGTAACTTCGAAATGTTATAGGTACTAACTAAGTCGTCGTGGCCTAAAGGATAAGACATCCGGTGCATTCGTGTGTAGCGATGCACCGGTGTTCGAACCCGCAGGCGGGTACCAATTTTCCTAATGAAATACGTACTTAACAAATGTTCACGATTGACTTCCACGGTGAAGGAATAACATCGTGTAATAAAAATCAAACCCGCAGAATTATAATTTGCGTAATCACTGGTGGTAGGACCTCTTGGGAGTCCGCACGGGTAGGTACCACCACCCCGCCTATTTCCGCCGTGAAGCAGTAATGCGTTTCGGTTCGAAGGGTGGAGTAGCCGTTTTAACTATACTGAGANTCACAAAATTTATTAATTGATATTTAATTTTATTTTGAGTACATATATACTACATATTTAACGATATTTATAATTAACATAGCCTTATAACACAATCTCAATGTAACACATAAATCATCAATCATATCTCAATGAAATAAATTATGTGTTACATCGGACTGTATCAGTTCGTATTGTGGTAAAAATATATGCTGATCTGTTTTTCTAAATACGGCAAAAATATGCAATAAGTATAGGTAGTGTAAATAATGGGAGTTTTACCCTTTATGTAAAATTTTGTAAATCGAATATCTCTGCTTCCATATTCAGAGTAAATTAGGCGTCAAGGTCTAACGCTAGTGTAGGAAGCGTAAATGAGATTATAGTAGATTTATGCAGAGTGAAGTATGCTGGATTAAGGTGAAGTGTGGTAGTTTATGGCGCTGTTTTTTAAATCCTTCCACTTGCTATTAAGCCCCACCTTAATTCGCTCCCTTTTAGCGGACCATTTTTAATAAACCTTTTTTATTCTACATAGGTATTCTAGTAACTTCGAAATGTTATAGGTACTAACTAAGTCGTCGTGGCCTAAAGGATAAGACATCCGGTGCATTCGTGTGTAGCGATGCACCGGTGTTCGAACCCGCAGGCGGGTACCAATTTTCCTAATGAAATACGTACTTAACAAATGTTCACGATTGACTTCCACGGTGAAGGAATAACATCGTGTAATAAAAATCAAACCCGCAGAATTATAATTTGCGTAATCACTGGTGGTAGGACCTCTTGGGAGTCCGCACGGGTAGGTACCACCACCCCGCCTATTTCCGCCGTGAAGCAGTAATGCGTTTCGGTTCGAAGGGTGGAGTAGCCGTTTTAACTATACTGAGATCTTAGAACTTATATCTCAAGGTGGGTGGCGCATTTACGTTGTAGATGTCTATGGGCTCCAGTAACCACTTAACACCAGGTGGGCTGTGAGCTCGTCCACCCATCTAAGCAATAAAAAAAAAACTAGATTCACCAGGCGAGTAGGTGAGCTCACGAGGCTCTAACCTGTGCACGTCGCTAACACTAGTCTTAGCAAGAGCAGTGCTTCGCAGAATCTACCATCGGATCGGAAATGCAATCCACTGAAAAGATCCGGCGAGAAACTCAGTGGACTGTTAGCTAAATCAGTAGTTTAGTTTACTCGCCGAACCCTTCCGTCGCTTGGGGCAGGTTCGAAGAGAACGTTGACCGGTGCTCGAGATACCTAAAACACCGTTAGTGGATCGGGAAGATCCGAAATGACGTGTAATAATACACTGAGACAGCAATTCTACCCTCCATCATAACAAATTAAAGCCTTCGTCAAACAGAACGCGTACTTAACGTCGCGCTCTTCAAATTGAATAGATGAGTCTAACGCTCCTTGACGCAACGCATTCGCCAAATCATAGTGCCTTTCAATAGCAGTGTGAAAATTTAAAAGTATTAAGAAATCGAGTGATTCAGATGTGGCATTGTATAAGCATGGGTATTTTCTAACTATTTATATCATTTTTTACAAATTTTATTTTAGCGTCCGAGTGAATGTGTATTAAAATACTAGATAATGCCCGAAAAAATGATACAAATAGTTAGAAAATACCCATGCTTATACAGTGCCCCATCTGAATCACTCGATTTCTTAATACTTTTAAATTTTCACACTGCTATCGAAAGGCACTATGATNTATAAGCATGGGTATTTTCTAACTATTTATATCATTTTTTACAAATTTTATTTTAGCGTCCGAGTGAATGTGTATTAAAATACTAGATAATGCCCGAAAAAATGATACAAATAGTTAGAAAATACCCATGCTTATACAGTGCCCCATCTGAATCACTCGATTTCTTAATACTTTTAAATTTTCACACTGCTATCGAAAGGCACTATGATTTGGCGAATGCGTTGCGTCAAGGTGCGTTAGACTCATCTAGTCAATTTGTGTGACATGAAAAGAGCGCGACGTTAAGTACGCGGCGCTAAGTACGCGTTCTGTTTGACGAAGGCTTAAACTACCACCATTAAACAATTGCGCTACTGTTTTCGTTCACGTAGTGGATGACGCCGTTTTGTGTTGTTAATGGCTTCCTGAAATATATATTAATAAAAATAATTTGTGTTTAATTTAATTTGTATAACATTTTTATTACATAGATAAGTGTTTGTGTAATAGTATATATTACATTATCGCATATTCTCCAGAACACAGATTACATGAACATATTCTCATTAAAGCCTCCTGGAGGTGGAAGGTGATCAGCGTCAGGAGGTGGCCTTCTTCCCGGGATGGGTTCACCAACACCGGGGGGCGCAAACGGATCGAAACGTGCCCCGGGGGGAACCGCTGCTCTGTGAATTAATGTAATTTTTGCGTAAACAAACATACAAGTATACAGTATACATTATTCTTACATGCTTACGACGTGGGCCTGTCTATTGTGAGGTCCATTGTTGTTATATTTTGTTTCGACAATGAATGATTTTATTCTTGACCATAACAGCATTTTGTAGTTCTAACAGCTATTTATTGTTATTTTTGTTTTATTACATATATATAAATATTCAAACACCCATATATAAATAGAACAGGGAATCCTAGTTGAACGGTAAATTATCATGTGTAAAAAAACCCGATAAATCTATTAATTAAATAACTAATTTTCTATGTTGTCATGTGTGTCAACAGATATTCTCTTTTCTGATGGATTATTTAAAGAATTGACGAGCTTTTGTGATTTCAAAAATAATTATTATTGTTTGAAATGTTTTCATTATAAAACGAACCAATCGGAATAAAGATACAAACTAACTACATATTATTATATAATTTTTTGTACTTTAAAATTTGTTTTCCCTGTAGAGGTTAAAAACCATTCTTTAATAACCAACTGTTTTTTTTTATTATTGCTTACGTGAGCGATCGAACTGACGATCCATCTTATGTTATGTGGTTGTGGAGCCCATAGATAACAACAATGTAAAAGCCGCCACCCCTATTTGGAGACATGAGTAAGTCTCAGTTTTACAATACAACGGCTGCCCCTCCCCGAACGAACCGAAACTCATCACTGCTTCACGACAGAGTGGTGGTGCCTACGCGCGCAGGCTCAAAAGAGTAGTAGCAACTATTACATTGTACGAAATTTAAAATAATTATTTCGTTGTTGACTAATGCTAGAGGTACTGGTAGCATTGGCGACCGTCGCCTAATCTATTTCTATTTAAAAAAAACAACAACAATTTGAGTCATTGCTTGTTTTTTTTTTGCTTAGATGGATGGACGAGCTCACAGCCAACCTGGTGTTAAATAGTTACTGGAGCCCATAGACATCTACAATGTAAATGCGCCACTCACCTCGAGATATAAGTTCTAAGGTCTCAGTATAGTTACAACGGCTACCCCACCCTTCGTACCGAAACGCATCACTGCTTCACGGCGGAAATAGGCGGGGTGGTGGTACCTACCCGTGCGGACTCCCAAGAGGTCCTACCACCAGTGATTACTTAAATAATAATTTTGCGGGTTTGAGTTTTATTACACGATGTTATTCCTTCACCGTGGAAGTCAATCGTGAACATTTGTTGAGTACGTATTTCATTAGAAAAATTGGTAACCGCCTGCGGGATTCGAACACCGGTGCATCGCTACATACGAATGCACCGGACGTCTTATCCTTTAGGCCACGACGACTTAATACGATTTGCATAAGGGGTGCTTACTAAAAGTAGGTGTAGTTATTGTAATCCCGCTTTGGTGGCTTCCACAATCCTGTCTATTTCTGTCTCCAAGTATTCATATCTCAGAATAATGAAGGTGATCGTTCTTAGAATACAAACGAATACGGTCTGAGGGAACGGACACCAGTAACACATACGATCTGGTCTCTATGGGCTCATGGATGTTCAACTTTTGTAAAAGGTATCTGTGTCAGCAAGAAGCGTATGAAATAAATCAAAGAAGGTCTTCAAGAGTACTTATTGTTTACAGCCTTTTGATGGTAAACTGACATAGTCATGTGAGAGGATTTAGATGCTCATCTGCTCATGTTGTTGTCAATGAAAAATCTCAGATACTTATGTAAGATTTTTACACAAACCTTGGCAATCCACCTGGAACACCCAGGCCTGGGTTCTCAATGTCTCGACGTGGAGCAAACGGGTTAAATATCATTCCACCCCCGAAAGGAGAGAACGGATCGAGATCTGAATGGCCAACGTTACGGCCAGGAGGAACTGCCCTGTATGAAACATAAATTAATAATTGTCACTCATTTAACTAATATTTACTACTGGCAAACTCGTTTGTACATATCCTGGGGGCTGCATACCAAAACAGATTAGATTAAAGCAGAAAAACCATATTCTAAGTTTTTTTTTTTTTTTCAAATACAGAAGCCAACAAATTCTGAAAATGTGTGATAGATGAACTTTTCCCCGATAATCGAAATGAGGCATTAAAGCTAGGACCCAATTTTGAAAATTCTTCCACGTTTTTACTAAAAAGTTGCGATCATAAAGATCATATCGATATATACTTATGTATAAATAAAATTTTATAAAAAAATATTTCTTCAGAGGTTATAAAGTAAAATCCGTAATTATATTACAATCAGGTCTTATTGTAATATTATAGTATCCGTTTTATTTAGCGAGTTTAAATTAACTTTTAATTGTAATTATGAAAACGTGGAACAGTTTCAAAACAGAGGTTGTATTACGATCCGATTAAAATCATTGGCAGCTGAATCTACGCAAGCATAGAGCAGGCACACAAGGTTCACGAACGAAGGAAGGTCATGGCTTAAGGAGAAATTGGCCCTTATGTTCCACCTGATGCGAAAATATTGCTCTAACACTATAAATCTTCAACAGCTGCCAAATGCAAGCTCGTGTATAAACCTATTTTATACCCATATTATGTCAAACAACTGTAATAGAAATATATTATTTCGAACTCATACTATCAACCTTAGATTAATTATGGGTACAAAAGATGAGCCACTAGCCCCCGAAACCGAGCATTCTTTACCATAGATCTTGTGAATCGGGATTAACTCCGGGTCTGGGTCTGGGAGGAATTCTCAGTGGATCATCTGAAGGCCTTCTAGTGTTTGAATGATCTGAAATTTTTAAACATTTGACCTTGAGATAAAAATACGGTCACGTAAATCAGCACATTGAATTTCAGGTGGACCATAAGCTGACTACAGTCAAACTTTAAAAAAAACTAAATGAAATGGAGTCGAAATGTTTGAATGCATACTGTACCAGTTTATTGAATATTTAATAATCAAAAAGCACATTTAATTTTATGTGCTCCCTTATTTTATTTAGCAAATTTTAACCACTTATTTCCATACGTTATTTACATAATTAAAATGGAAGATTGAGTTTAATTGATGTCGTCATGAGCTTACGGAGCAGACGCACAGTGTACTCTCGATTTGTATGAATAACATTGTGTAGGTTTCATCCAGCCTATTTCTGTCGCAAAACAATCACGTATTTTGATTTAAAGAGTAGGATAGCTTTTGTATTAAAACTACAGACCGTTAACTAGAAAATCGTGTGTCACAGTGAGTGGTAGTACTCAAATTTATATATCTATAGGCACCGGTAGTCCTTTATCATCAACTGGGCCATAAGCACGTTCAAGCGTCTGTACAAGAAATGTTATAATCTTGAAACAGCAGTGACTGAATATCTTTTGCATGGCAAATAGGATATTCATATTTTTTTATTTTTACTCAACACAAATACATAATACTAAATTTGCTTGTGATGGTTGTTAAATTTTTGTATGGCAATATGAGAGGGGCAAGTATTATATTTCTGCCTATTTCTAATACGCAGTAGTCTCTGAATTAAATGGTCAGTGGTTTTGCAACTTAAACCTTATGTTTTCATAGGAGTGGCAATGCGTTGTGATGTTTATAAGATGTGCCATGCAATCTAAAATAATCATGAATGTGTTTTCTACTTGACACAAAAAGTCTATTATGAAAGAAGAGTAAATTGAAAACAAAAACTTAAAACATTAATTTAATTTTTCCTCTAAGTTCTACATTTAGTATGTACTAACCAATTTTTTAATATTATCTAAAAATGAAGCGTGTAGAATAGTGAAGGAGCTGTGATAAAATCAGCCAAATTGCACACTTTTTATATTCTAAAATCTACTTAAAGCATGAGCAGTTAGTTATAAGGCTGAAAACTTATATTACAAAAATTTTGTTTAAAATTTTGTTAATTACCTGATGCAGTCTGTGTTTCCGAAGTAGCTGTTGGCTTGTCTGTGATGCTATCAATTAGATCTCGCTTTATAACAAAAATGAAATCTTTGTAATTCGGCATCATGACGTCTATGGTTCCATTTGATTCTTTCAGTATTTCGTCTATCTTTACACCTATGTTCGTAACAGCAAGGTCTTCAGATCTCTGTACAGAGTTGAGTATTTTGTTAATCGTATGTGGAACTTCATAAGAGACAACATTAATACGGAATTTGTGGGTTGATGAAGACAAAATAATTCATGAAATAGAAAAGGGAAAACAGGTGATTTACAAACTCTCACAACATTCATTTACATACACTACTAGACTTGAAGACTAATAATGACAGAAGAATGTTATTATTATGTTTTATTATTTTATTATGAACTTAAGCACACATGTTTGGTAACAAGTGAGTTCATTAGATGTCTGTCATAGACCTTTCATACTTTAGTGATGTCTATTTTTATACAAACTGCACTTAGCAATCCTTTTAATAAAAAAACAACAGGTACCCTCACTAATACATTACAGTTATTTATTGTTACTTGTAAACTATTAACCTTTGGTATTGGAGAATGGATCACTAATTTACACCAGTTATCTGCAGTAGCATGGTGTGATTTTTTAATGCACTAGATAGAGGATAGATTGAAAAGAAGTTTAGGGACACATCTACTAATCTATTAGATAGTTGGTTATCATATGTTGAGTTACATTTTCTAACTAAAACATTTGTTATCTTTTAAATAACATTGATAGCATCATAGAAACTTTCTATATCATTTCAATATTTTTTCCTAGTTCGATTTTAATTTTTAATACCTACTAAAATTTGTCATCAGCATTGAGAAAACGAATCTCCCCCCTGACAAACCCCTCCTGAGCAGTGACCTCGAGACACTGTTCGGTATGGGGGACGCGGTCATCCTGGCAGGCGATTTAAATTGCCACCACACTAGGTGGAACTGCCATCGCACGAATGTGAACGGTAGGCGTCTCGACGCGTTCATAGACGACCTCACATTCGAAGTATTCAACCCCCCGACCCCCACGTGCTATCCGTNACGGAGATATTTACGTATATTCATGTTTCATTTTATGTACGCACTGAAATACTGTTATATTGTTTTCCTGCGAGTTAAAGTGCTGAGTAAGAACGAGATAGATATATGTTTATGTATGTGCCTTCAAAATGGGTGCTATTTATATAAGCAATTGTACGTATAGAACAATATGTCGTGTCCCTACTATATAGGTCTATGGACAGAGCCCATAAATATCAAAATTTGTAAATACAGCCACCCACCCGCCATCAAATCAAAATGTATTACTGCTTCACTGCAGAAATAGACAGGTTGATGGTCCCTATTCTTGTAAGCACACAATTTTATTTCATGCGTGTTTGATTTTTATTATTTCATGTTATTCCTTTAAGACTTTAGATTTTTGAATGCCATTTGTATTATTAAACACGAAGTTTATTCATAAATGCTCAGAAGCGTGTAACTTATTTTAGAACTCAGAAGAGTGTAACATAAAACTGGTTACTAGTTTCATAATTACCATTAAATTTACAATTAAATTTCCATCAGTGTTTAAGCCATGCAGAATATAGAGTTTAGATTCGAGAACATATCTTATTCTGTAGTTCTCAGTGTCGTTCCATCCTTCAGGAAGTAGCTCACTTTTAGGTTCATCGCCAGTGATTGTTCTCTGAAATGAAATATTTAATGGCTTTAAACGACAGTAAATTCTTGTTCATTTTTTTAAATATAAAAGCATTATTTATTAAATTGTTTAAAATTCTATCAAAATTTCAGATTACTGTTTATTTACAAAAATAATAGTGCATGTCTTGGTCTCAGCATTGTATTGTATTGTTATGGTATTTCACAAATCACATGTTATCTGCCTTTTAAGATTCAAATCATTATAGTTAGTGACTACTTAGATAACATAAACTGTTTTGCATCAGAGCTCATAAAAAAATTGCATGGATATTTTATAGTGATATTTAAAGCAACAGATTTTTGGCACATCTATATTATTAAAAACTAAAGGTACAGGATGAACGTTTTCCTAAATTTTTAGTCATTTGTTTTATTTATTTGGCCCTTACATTTACACTTCGTTTTATACATTGATTGTGTATGATTACTTATGTATAAAGATATACATATAATTATGTATTTGATTGTATTTTGTTAAGTATAAGCACATTAAGCACTGTTTAAGTCTCGTTAAACAGCGTAACCTAATTTACTGTCAGAAAACTATTCTATTATTCTTGACTTTTACATTATTGTTAACCTCCACACACGAAAAAAAGTCATTACTTTCAAGTCTTTTTGAATGTCTGTAATGTCGTATATGTAATATATAGCACAGCTAAGGATAGGTAGAGCTAGCACAGGATAATCCAGAAGAGAGTAATTAAGGAAGACCACAACCCTCAATATTGAGGATTATCAATGCAATGAGGATAATGTTGTAGTTCGCAAAGTATAGTTTGAGATACTCTCATTATATTCCGCCATGACATTGTCGGCCTTCTTCTTCTGAATTCTTTTGCTTTTCTCCACTGCTTGTAAAGCACACATTTGCTACATATTATTTGTGCTTGGTCATACCAGTTTAGAAAAGTAATTAGCAGAGCTTAGTTTATTTTAGTGCCTTAGTAGGCGCCACCAACATATGGGCCATGGTAACCACCAACATATGGTAAGTGGTTACCCTCGCTCATGGATGTCAGCAATGCCAGGATCATGGCCAAGTTGCTGTTTACTTAGTAGCCGCCACCAACATATGGGCCACGGTAACCACCAACATATGGTAAGTGGTTACCCTCGCTCATGGATGTCAGCAATGCCAGGAGCATGGCCAAGTTGCTGTTTACTTAGTAGCCGCCACTAACATATGGGCCACGGTAACCACCAACATATGGTAAGTGGTTACCCTCACTCATGGATGTCAGCAACGCCAGGGGCATGGCCAAATTGCTGTTTACTACTGTTTAAGCACTGGAATTCGCTTGTCCAAGGATAATGGAAACTACTCACGATCAGGTGGAACATAGGTATTACCTTCGAGAGATACATTCTAATTTGAAGAGACGAAAAAAGAAATTCATCAGTACTTAACTTAATGTAGTAGGGCTCAAAAATCAATACAAATGAAATCTATTTTAAATTTTGTGCTTATAAACAAAATGAAGGGACGTTGAATCTGCTGATTAATTAATTCCACTATAATTTCAGTAGATATACTGTTTACGTGTTTTGTTGTGTTTTAAACGACGCATTTTATATCGTATATAACTAAAAATTAGTAATGTGAATTGTAAGAATTCCTTGTTTGATTTTATTATTACCTCATCACTTAAACCGATGCTTCGAAAACCCCTCCTTGTTAAATTCCAGTGAATAAAAGCAATTATTATGTCAGACTGTTTTTTTATATCCCTCTCAATTGTTTTGAATGTTAAATCCCAGCCAAACAGCGGGTCTGATGCCATTTTGACTATAATAAATGTCCACTATGGTAGCTATAATTGATAGAAACACTTGTTAAATCCGTTCAAAGTATTTCAAGACAGCTGAGTTGTTGTGATAACTTCAAAAAATGGTTCCCCTATGTTTTGTATCATATGTTCAAGCAATAGACATGCAATACAAACAGGGATGGCGATTCGAGATCGATTAATCGAAGAAACGATTTCTCGAACCAAAAGATTTTTTAAAATCGATATGTAGTTCTGAATCGATTCAGTGAATCACCCTTGAAAATCGACATTCGATTTTTTTCAGTTTTGGTAAAAACCATAAAATTATTCCCAATTAAGAATTTGAATTAATTTTTCAACCACTAAATAATCAGTGACCATATTTTTGCGATAATTCGATACTCAGTTAACTTTACACTTTTTTGATTCCATCTCTTTTAATACTTATTAATATAATAATATTATATAATTATAATATAGAGAATAGAGGATTGGTTGAATGTACCCGTAATATTACGGTGTTGTCGGTGACAAATACACTTAGAAAATAAATGTCTTCTTTTAAACCTGAACTGATACTTTGATAATTAAAAAAAGAAAATTCTATATGTCAGTGGCGGATTAAAGGTCCAGAGCGCCCTAGGCAATCACTTTACCGGCGCCCTTGTACCGGCCATAAAGGGCCCTCATAATACTATAAATTTTAACTAGTTGTTTTTGCAATTACGATGACGTTGTATCATCAAACACTAGACTTTAGTAGACCAGGACCCTTGTACTTACGCTAATGTACGAATGAAATACAAACAAACCCGCAATATTGCTTAATACGAGTATATCGATGCTTGTGCAATATCATTTATTATAGATTTAGATTATAGATCAGCATTTAGTTCTTAATCGTCGATATCTTATTTTCTTTATTCATTTAAAAATTCTGAGCTCGCGCCCCCCTTGTAACTACACGCCCTTAAGCACGTGCCTAGTTTACCTTATGGATAATCCACCTCTGATTATTGTCATTATCGAATTCCCTGAGCTAAACAATTCCGTGATTTTACTGATAAGAGATCATTTATTATATCATATCATATATTACATTGTAAATGCAAACTTATAAAAAATCCATTTTTAAGGAATCGATCTTTTGGACCTCGAGTTTTTTGTGAATCGATTTATTAGGTTACGATTTGAATAAATTTAAAAATCGATCTTTTTCGTCAAGAATCGCCATCCCTAAATACAAATACAACGCAGAATCTATGAGTAGAGAATCTTGTTTAAATGTGTATTATTATCTATGGTAGAGAAATCGCTAACTCACGCCTGAACCATAGATCTTTCTTGATTTGTCTATTTGCTAAGGCAAAGGGATCGGTAATTCAAATGAAAAAACAGTGAAGAATTTGAAAACTGAAACGGAACAAGAAAAATGAGATGCATTAATAAGAAATTGATTATGAAACTAAGCGATATGAAATGAAATTGAAGACAACACCGAGCATCAATGAAATAGTTTAAATTTAGTAATTCAGTGGACTCTGTGAGTTTACCCGAGAAACAATGCCTAGTGACTAGTGACTATTTTATTAGTGTTCACACTTGTGCATGTGCAAACATGATAAACAAGTTAAAAACCACAATTCTAACAGTTTAATTATATGTTTATTATTGCGTCTAAACTCTAGCTCATCACACACAACATGGAAATATATTAAACTAAATTAGTCAATTATGAAACGTAGTTTGCTTTTTTTTTTTTTTTTTTTTTTTTTTCCTACCTAAGCTGATAGCCCTAGCGGCTATGTCAGCGTAACCCTAACTTTAGTAGGTGAGCTCACGGGGCTCAAACCTGACGATGTTGCTAACACGAACCCTAGCAAGAGCCGTGCTTCGCAGAATCTACCACCGGATCGGAAACGCGACCCACTGAGAAGATCCGGCGAGAAACTNATAAAAAAGATAGGGAGTTCACATAGGTAATATAAACAAATAAGTAAATATGTTCATTATTTATCTTTCAAGAGATAATATAGGTATACATTATAATAACTTTTTTACACAGTCGAAATTATATTCCTAACATTAGTAAAATAACATTTTAATACGATAGGTAAGAGGATGGAAAAAATGTATTTGGTCTAACTTAACGCCAATGTACATTATTTCATTTATTTATTTTTTTATTTATTTTATTAAACTGTATACCAATTAATTGCTCCTTCAGGATTTATGATTGTTTTTTTTTTCACGATTAAAACCGCGTAGAAAGTTTAGGCATTATAGTTGATGCATGCGCAGTACACATATTTTGCATACATTTATTCAACTAATAAAAATAGTAACTTAAACAAAAAACGAGTAATTTCGAAAGAGAACAAACGTGTTTTATATAAGAACAATCGAAAATGAATATTTACGAGTCATTAAGGATGAAAAAATATTAAAAATTGCATTAGAGGGGCTAACTTGTAGGTATATTTTTAAATAATTTTTTTAAATAAATAACTGCAGAACAAACAATTATTAACAGTGAACAATCATGAACAAATGATGAACAAACGAATTAATAGAAAATAAGTATAAAATAGGAAAAAAAAATTTTTTTGAGGGGCTAACTTCATTCACCTGAGTAGAGAATCTTGTTTAAATGTGTATTTTTATCTATGGTAGAGAAATCGCTAACTCACGCCTGAACCATAGATCTTTCTTGATTTGTCTATTTGCTAAGGCAAAGGGATCGGTAATTCAAATGAAAAACAGTGAAGAATTTGAAAACTGAAACGGAACAAGAAAAATGAGATGCATTAATAAGAAATTGATTATGAAACTAAGCGATATGAAATGAAATTGAAGACAACACCGAGCATCACTGAAATAGTTTAAATTTAGTAATTCAGTGGACTCTTTGAGTTTACCCGAGAAACAATGCCTAGTGACTAGTGACTATTTTATTAGTGTTCACACTTGTGCATGTGCAAACATGATAAACAAGTTAAAAACCACAATTCTAACAGTTTAATTATATGTTTATTATTGCGTCTAAACTCTAGCTCATCACACACAACATGGAAATATATTAAACTAAATTAGTCAATTATGAAACGTAGTTTGCTAAAAGCTTGTAAATGTAGACAGTGGCTCTTACTTAATTCTTGTTATTTGTCTTTATGGTATAGCAATAAACCTTCCAAGACAGTCCCAGATTACAACATAAAGATAGAAAGAGCATTCATGTTAAAGATAAAACGTTTTTCGTCATTTTTCACTCGAGATGTCTACCATAACTTTATACATACATATTTATGTACGGAGTATTTTATAAATGCTTAATATGAGAATATAAGTCTCAAACAACCAAATTTCTAGTTCTTGAAATCTTTATGTCAGCTCTATTTTAAAATTTGTTTCAAAAGCCCGCCAAAAAACTGTCAATCGAATGGCCAATTGCGAAAACCGATTTTAAACGGAAAATGATTTTGTAACTATTTTTGTTGAGAAAATCAAACTCGTAACTTTATAAATTTATTTTAAGATCTAGCCTTGAAATTTTCACAAAATTACGGTTTTGACAACGGTTTTTCGTTACCGGTTAGTAACTGAACATGCAAGCATTTATTCGTAAAAACAATATGGCCGACAGTGTCATTCCGGGGACGTCGTGATCGTAACGTGAAATAATGAATTTTGTAATTCTAGAATATGGGTGAATATGTGCAGTAAACTTCTTTACTATCGTGAAAAAAGTGTTGTGTTTTGATTCTATTTGTGTAATTTGTGTGCAAAATGGCGTCGGATAAGATAAAAGTCGCGGTTCGTGTTCGTCCTTTTAACAGGCGAGGTAAGTTAGTTTCATATTGCATATAAATAAAGAAATCGCTATCGCACAGGTGACCGTATATGCTTTTATCTCTCTATATAATGGCCTCTATAATCACGATAAATATTACTATAGAATGTAATAAGTTAAATATTTATGTAGTTTAGCACTTAGTTAGGAAAAGTAGTATTTTTTCTTGCTTACTAATCTAGATCAATTGTTACAAATATAAAAAGTAGTTACGTAGACAATAGACACATTTATTTTATTTCATTTCAAACTTTCGGTTTTTAGAATTTGAACTTTCATATATCTTTAACAATTTTAATATATCTTCAACCACTAATAAACTATTGAACCCACTCTGATCATATTTTAAAAAAAATATCTCAACATTAAATTTAAATTTTTTGGAAATTTTTACAGTAAAATGCATAAGCATGTATGTGCAAGCTTTTAATTTACAGAATCAATAGGTAACAATAAAAAGAAGTAAGTTCACATATAGTAGTATAAATGTTAGATTTTTGCAAAAAAAAAAACAGTAAATTTTACAATGAACCGCTTCAAGTCAAATGCTAAACATGTTTCAATAACAAAAAAACATTCATTCTATCTTGTTTTATCACACTAAATGCTACAAATACTAATAAGTATTTTATTCATAACTTAAACAGCAAGTTGAATTCTACAGTTTTAAGAGGGCCTTCAATAACATTATTCTTATCATCTCTAACAGTTTATGGGAAGACACTTTGTTAATGTAGGCTTTAGAAGCACAAAATTTATCACTTACACACTTGATAAAACTTACACTTAATAAAAAAACGTTTAGATTTTTTAAGCCTTTCTTCAGTATCTTCATTCAAACATTTAAAGTTATAGGACATTCACAATTTACAAAATTTATTTATTTTTATGTAGATTGTAGCAAATAAATTTTAAGTATTTCTGTAAATAGAATGGCAGTTTGCAAATTCAAATCTATTTTTACATGTAATCTATTCTATATCTATATAGTACAGTTATTGCTAGGTTGCATGAATTCACAAATAAATAGGAAAAAACCTAGTAATTAATATTATTTGTGGTAGAGCATCTTGAGAGTCTGCCTGGATTATACCACTGAATACTGACTGTTTATTTTTGTTGCCAAACAGCTATGTGGTTTGCTTTTGAATGCCAGTTAAAC